ATGCACTGGGACCACCGCACCCCTTCCCCAGCAGCAGGGACCCTTCCTGTCCTGGTGAGAGCTGCTAGCTGGGGAAATCCATCAGCGCAGGGGGGCTGGAAGTCAGCCCAGAGCCTGGACGGCGGCAGTGAATACAGCGTTGGGGACGGCAGGGCTTTCGGGCAGGCCGCCGGCATCACGGTGAGCCCCAGGGTCAGCGAGTGAGTCTACGCCATGGTCAGAAAGCTTCCCTGCAGCCTTCTTTCTTTTTTTTCTTTTTTTTCCAGATGAAAATCCATCCATCACAGGGCTCAGGGGTTTTGTGTGAAGCTGACAATAAGTGGCTGAGCAAACTCCACAAGACCCTGGTTGCTGGGGCTCAGCAACAAAAGCTGATGTACAAAAAAGCAAACCAGAGCCCTCGGCAAGCTCTAGCCCGGCCGTAGAGGAAGGAGATAATCTCATTTCTTTGCTCTTTGCCCTTTTAGCTATTCACAGGGCTTAATGCTGAGTTATTCCCAACAATGAGCCGAACGATCAAACTCCCATCTGGCCTGGCCGGGCAGACGCAACACTTGCTCTCCAGTCACAGGCACACCAGTCCTGAGATTTTTTTCCCCCATCTCGAATGCACTCGCCCCATGACAGAGAAGATATTTACACTTGGTAACAGAAACCGCAGTTGAGGCTCACCAGCCTGCTCTAATCTGATCACCCAAATCCCCGCGTGCAGCGAAACACAGGCGCTGCGAGCACAGCTGTTGCTGCAGCCTTTGGATCTCCCCGTACCCGACGCGATGCACAGCTCACCAGCTCATGACCTGATTTTCCTGGCAGGGCACTCTTCTCCCCTTTCAGCCCTCCTGCGCGCTCACACCACAGGCCCCAAGCTGCAGCCAAGCCCTCGGGAGCAATGGTTTCCCCCCCCCCGACTTTGAAATCCACTGCAGGTTGCTCTTTGCTGTAGCCAGAGAGCCCCAGCATCACCGGGCTGCGGCAGCAGAACTTGCCGCTACCTACCGCTCTCCCGGCCCAGGAACTGGGGTTATAACTGAGCATGTAGTGGGAGCCAGGGGAAAAAAAAAGGGAAGGAAAAAAAAAAAGAGACGCTCTTTTGTTGTTAACACCGTTTTGTCCTCTAATCTGCTCACGTCCTGGTCTTACATTTTCGTTCAGCGTTCAGCTGCAGGGGAGGAATACAAGGAGATGGATTGATGTTGGTGCAGGTATAGATGTTTTTGTGTGTGAATTGCATTTTGAGATATAGATACATACACACACACACACACACACACACACACACAAACACAAGAACACTGTATTAAAAGTCAACAGAAAATATCTCACAGACTTAGGTGAAACGAGCATTTCCCCTCTAATACTCAAACGAATCTCAGTGAGCTGGCTTTAGCTGTCAGAGGCTCTCCCGACAAATTCAGAAGCACTGGGAAAGACAGACTGATGCCCTGCGCCAGCGGCATCCTGGCAAGGTGCCTCTTTTTTTTCTGTGCAGGAAAACCCAGAACTGAAGTGCCCCCTTCTTCAGTTAAGATGGCAGGGAGTGCTGCCCCGACCGACAGGAGCCCCGTCAGTGATAAAATTTCCCCATGTATGAGTCACAGGAAATTATAATCACTGCTTACCAAGACTGCAGAACACAATGAGATTTCTGAGCTACAAACAGACTTCAATTATTCTTGCAAGACAGACAGACCCTCAAACTGACACGATTAGAGAAAATAAATATCCTTTTGTCTGCACTGCTGGTGGTAATTTCCCATTAGACAGGAAAAGCCTTCTTTGATGAATGAATATTGTCTACGCATTAGAAGAGCTACTGTGTATCTCCTAATAGCTCTTGCATGCTTGGGCTTAGCCTCATGCGAGGCCCGTAAACCCCTCGGGTGCAATGTGGTAGCATTCATTAGTCTACTGCATTTTTTTATTGCAGTATTTGAGAAAAGGATGGTGCCTATTCAAATAGATCTCAGCAACTTCCCACTCACCTTGAAGTTACGTGGCAAGGTCAAATTCATTTAGCAATCCGCCTTCTTGGTCTGCAGGTAGCTCTTCAGAGGCTAGAGGCTTCAGGAGAAACACTCGCACTGGAGACTGATTTTCCATTTATGATTATTGTTGCAATTTTAGCAGTTAATCACTTTTCTCTTTTGCATTTACTTTGCTTTTCTACAGCCGTAATTAAATCACAACCAGAGTGTCACAAAGAACTAAGTCGAGCACTGTTTGCAGAACGTCATGCTAGGGCCTTTGACCAACTCTGGACCATTTCGAGGACCCACCAAGGCTCAGGTCGTTTCCTTCCCACAGAAACCTGTTAACAGACGTTAATCCTACTAACCGTCCCTTTCGCAGCAGTGTAGCATTTCCACCTGCCATTCTTCCTGGGACTGGTGTCGGATTAAGCTTGGCCTAGAGATGCCTGGGTCAGGTCGCGGAGTCCTTTCGGATGCCAGCAGATCGCCTTCTCTGGAACTTCGCCACGGCACCATGGATCGGTTGGGAGTCAGGGCGGCAGGTGAGGGGAGTGTTTGGCCAATTGTTTTTATCTGAATAGGATTTATTTAGCCTTACATTAAAAAAAATAAAATTCGAGGGAACAGGAGATTTTGAATCTGATAATTCAACTTTTACAGTCACCACACAGCTATTTGTGGTGTATACACGGTGCTTAAGAAAAGGTTTTCATTAATTTATAGCAAAAATGCTAACAACCTTGTTTATATTTTTGCTAATGTTTTTATTTGAGAGATTAAAAAACCCAAACAACAAAACTCCCAACATTAAGAAAAAGAAGCAGAAGAGCTACCGATGAGAAATGGTCTGGACTTGCCACTCAACAGCGGCACCAGTCTGCACACAAGCCAGCTGCAGGCAGAGATGCGGCAGGGACCAACATGGTACTCATAGACCGAATGCCGTACAAGAAACAACAAACCCCCGAGTCAGAAATAAAGGCCATCAAACCCCAACAACGCCCCATCCGAGTCTTACTTCCAACAAGAAATATAGGTGAGACTGATGTTTTAGGCTCATCCTGCATTACAGATGGAAACTGTACGTAAGTTTGTGGCACAGCAAATGCTGCTAAGCAACTTGGCAGAATGGCCGTGCTTTGCCAGTGAGCGCTGGGCTGAGGAGGTGACATTTTGGCTTGGCCAGCCCGCGGAGTTACTACGGAGTCCTCAGTTCAGTGGATGATGTTTTAAGGCAGGGGGGTAGCTGTGTGAAAAAGAGGACCACAACTCGCTTTGTAAGTACTAAGAGGAAGCTAAAAGTCCAGCCAGAATTACGGCCTCTTCAGTACTCCACAGCTACAGGTACAGCAACATTGAATATAGCATGTACATAACATTACTTATAGACTCTACATGTAAAACGTTAACCAATTTATCATGGAAATCTGGTAACAAGCAACATTGCCATATAAATTCACGCTTCGAGAAAGGCTAAGTGTGGAACCTTCCTTTGCAAGAGGATTTTCAGTCAATGTTTCCTATAGAAAATATTAAAACGACGACGATAATTTGTTCTCTGAATCTCAATTCATTATTGGGTTAGTTCTCAGGAATGGAAAAAGGTTCTTTTTAGAAAATGTGTGAATATTCAGAATATGAATTCACCATCTAAGTATCAAATAATTTAAAAAAAGTTTCAACTATCAGGAAGTCTTACTTGGCTGCAACATTTTAAAGCAATAACAGCGATACAAGGCATAGAAAATCTTTTCCTGCAACACTTGTAAATGTAAAAGTATTCACGTTAAACGCAACAGAACTACTACAGAATAAAATGCTTGTAGAACAGGGAAATGAGAGACTAGCTCTGCATTCAACCACCTTCCTTACAGTTGAACTCCAGCGGTTTAAGAACATATTACCTTCATAATTTGGAAAATGATGTCCCACAGGTAACTGGTCTGCATACTCCTATGAAATATGATGTCCCAAATGGCAAGACACCCCTTTGAGTTTATATCTCATCTCCACCATTACCTCCACAGTTGAAACAAAAGAACAACTATCCAAATGTAAAATGCTCTGGTTTTTAATTACTAAATTAAGAAAGTTAAACAGTTTTAAAATGTAAACTTGCAAATAAACCATAACAAAATGTAATTAAGACTTTAAAATTTGCAACTCAGTATTAAAAACTCAATAGAAATAGAAAGGAATTTTTTTTTTTTTTTTTTTGGTTAAACTTCAGTAACTCAAGGCTGGTACAGACAACTGAAAAGGTAATACTTTGTTCTGTGCATCCTCCATGAAATGTAAAGAAGTGCATAGTAATTCCACTGGAGAACTTGCAGACATAAAGAAAGTAATTTCATTAGCAGTACAGGACATTTAACACACTTATTTTACAATGGAAAAATGTTACACATAAAACAGAAAAATCCTAGTTGCATGACCAACAGTTTAGCAGGTGGACATGGCTAAAATGCTACGATTTTTCAGACCATGTGAATGTGGTTACACTGTTTAATAAATCTTTTCGAAACGTTTCAGTATACATGTTTTCATACAAGAATTCCTTGCAGTTTCCATTTTCCAGTTCAAACGGCGATGGTGTAGTTTTCTTGCTTTAAATATGTTCGTTTTAATTTCAAGAACAAATCATCACACACTTGTCAAACATTGGAAACATTACTGTAAATACAGCACATGATTCCTGAAAGAGCAAAGTTACAACCATCTACAGGTACATAATCATAAACAAAAAGTGCAATCCAATTTAAAAAAATCATGCTTGGCAAAAGCCAAAAATTAGATCACTGGCTTTCAGAATCCCACCAGTGTTTTCATGTCTGCAGTAAAATTATCGCTTTCTGGGTACTGCTGCAGCAGGGTTCATTCAGTTCCAAATGAGTCTCCTCTGCAATAGCACCCATATACTGTATGTACACATATGTATATATATTATATATATTTTATATATAAAAAAGCAAAAAACCAAACACTTGTCCTGATTTTTTTTTTTTATTTGTTAAAACATGAAAAAAAATGTTTTAGACAAAGAGGCCACTTCTGGAAAATAATACTTTTAGTTGAATCAGGAGAAGACTAGTTAAAATCACACAGGTTTTGCGTTTTAAAAAAAGGAAAGCGCTAGGATCAGTTATTGGCACTGAGTTACTATTTACAATGAACAGAGGTTTCGCAGTTTACGTAACATCAATACAATGAAGTTTTGGAGTCTTTCTCCCTTTCATCCAGGACATTCAGATTATTAGGACAAGTGGTTGTAGGCAAGGGCTGCGGAAGTTCCCAGCTTCAGCCCCTCCTGCGCACGGTGGTGCTGGAAGATGCTGCACTCTGGAGAAGCCGATCACGGAGTTGGAAGCTGAAGGACAGGTGGGGCAGGGCCGAGAAACACCCGGTAATTCATGACTGTGTCTGGAGACCAGGGATTTACAGGTTGTCACCGGGCTGGTACTGGGGTTCTGTTGCGGTGAAGTAGTCTTCAAGGAAACCCTGCAAATATTCGAAAGTTGGACGCTCCTCTGGGTCTTTTTTCCAGCAGTGGATCATAAGCTCGTGCAAGGAGATGGGACAGTCCTGGGGACACGGCATCCGATAACCACGTTCTACTTGCTCCAAGACTTCACGGTTATTCATGCCTGTAAAGAGCAGCCAAATCCACACTGTTACATTACAGGAAAATGAACTGGAGTGTAACTATATCTACGATACACATGGTTTTGTCGATCATACTGATTTCTTCTGGTTCGGTCAAGAGAAACAAGACCACCCCGATGTCCTGTCTCAGCTCTTCATCTTCTGCAAGGTAACCTGGGTTATTTTCTTTCTCAGAGGAGCGCTTTAGGATCCAGTGATGAGTGAAGAGCTGCTCTCATGGTTACCCTCTTAGCTTACGCACAATGGGCAGTATTTGGCACATTCCCGCCCCAGCAACAGGAGCCGCGAAGTATACGATGTGAAGTGGTTGAAGGAAATAACACACACTGTTCAAAATTCTAGAAATGAAGATGAATTTCTGAAACCCTCACACTGAGCGTGGGCCTTTCTTGACGTGCTCTGTGAGGTCACGCTGCAGAGACTTCAAGACAAACTCTGCTACCTCGGGCTACCAGGGATGTCCAGCAGCATTACCTTCAACACTGGTTCAGCAGCTTTCTGCTGCTGATGATCTGCACTCCCTCAATCTGTGCTGGTTAGTGTTGTTTCTACTGTATTCCATTGTTCCACCCCAACCCAGCAGAGGACAAAGTTGCTCAGAAGATGAGTCAACCGCCAAGCAAAACAGCTCCACTGCAGAACCATAGCTCTCTCTCACAGAAGGTAAAAAGTTACATTACCACCATGCTTGTCTCTAAGAGGCAAGCCAGGCCCTTTGCTACCTTGTCTTCTCTAGGCAACCCCTTCAACCCTTGATTCCTCTGCTGAAGTATTTTTCACTATACATTAATTGAAGTCAACCTCAACTTTAGTTTGAATAGCTCTTCCAGTAATTCTTTTGGCTTTTAACAGTACCAGGAGTAAGACTAGCACTGCTGCCACGCAGAAGTATTTCAGAGAAAGCACACACATTGACTGCAAGCTTTGTGGCTTGCCAGTTGGCAAGCCCTGCTCCAGTGCTCTGCTGAAAAATATCCGCAGGTTTCAGTCCCCTGAGTTAGTGGGTCCTGCCAAACAGTTCTGCAGGAGAACTAGGAGGGACAGTTCAATTCCTCCATGACTGAATCTAGAAACCAGCACCTTGATGTTGCTCTTTCTGTTAGCTTATCCTCCCCCTGGCTTCTATGACACCATCCTTCCCTGGGTCTCCTCCACTCTGTTCTTGCAGGGTGTCCTCTTGAAGAACTTTCTTTTCCCACCTTCAGGACCCAGGGGATCTTCTCTTTTCCCTCTACCCCATATTTTTGGTAAACTTTTTTGTGAGAAATAATTCAACTACCTTCTTTAGTACAGATTTATTTGTTTGCTCTACACTTTGACTAGTGGGAATACTTGGACTGCAGCTGTTACATGATAATCTGATGCTATGGATTTCACACATGCAGGGTGATTGTGCAGAACAAAATAAAGAAAGGCTGCAGGATGTGGAAGACGAAAATCGGTGAGACACAAAGGCCAACAAAAGAACCCCATCTCTGACCACCATTGCCCACAAAAACCCTCAAGTGTCACTCTGAGAACCACTGAATCTGACTTTCACATCGGGTCTCAGAATTTAGGTTCCTACCCTGTTCGGTTTCTTTATTTTTTTTACAGAGTTTAGAACTTCTTGCAACATGATACTGGAGTATCCTTAATCTGCACAGCATTTAAACTGGTAACTTAGCTGTATCCTGGGATTTGGTTTTTACTCTGTGTCCTCATGTCCTGGCTTTGTTTAATTCTTAAAGATGTTTTGAAAGAAACATCTTCAAAATACAGTCTTTCCCTGGCCATCCACATCTAGATTCATGTTAGGATTACGAAACACCTTTTCATCTTATCTTGACAGGGTAATTTTCTCCTGCTGATATCCATTTGCAATGTCTCTGCAAAGATCATTTTCCTAGCCTGTTGTTGTAACCACCCCTTGCATGGTCTTGCCACTCGCTCCTTGTTGCCTACTACGTGAAAAACGAGCTGCATGTCTTCGTTTTCAAGATCTGTCACAGGCTGCCCCGCTAGCATTTAGGCTGTTGTTTGGCCATGTCCTGGTTGATTCACAGTTCTGGTTAGCCTACTGCAGCACCTCTGATTTTCAAAAAAGCACTGATGTGCTGTTCCTTATGCTGCCTGTCGCTCATGGAGGAACCTCCTCCGAAAACTGCCTCATCCTCCTACAAACCTCTCCTTACTGTTCCCTTTAGCAGTGATAATTGCAAAAAGAAAAGTTAGATTACTGATTTACAGTATTCCTTATCCTGCAGACCAACACTTTAGCACTCGTTTCTTGTGTTTGATTTATCACCCGCATCTACCCACTGTATTTTTGGTGCTAAATGTTCATTGGGTAGGAACAAACACTTTATATGGCAGCTGAAGCGGTCCGTGGGTAGGACTTCACAGAACGATGCAAAGAGAGCAACAGCCCTCTGCAGACATCAGATTCTGCATAGAGTTAAGGTTCTCCTGTATTATCAACTGAGTTAAGGTTCTCCTGTATTATCAACTGCAAACTGATGTTGTCAGGTCACACAGGCTCACAACCAACCATAAAAGCTTGCCACATGCTGAACAAACTTTTGGGTGTTCCTCATTATCCAACAGGAACATTTTCAAACATATTCTACTTTTTTATTAGATTACAGAACAATGCTAGTGGTCTGTTAGTCATCACCAACCCAAAGGCAGCACCAACCCAAACCTTCTGGCCTTGCTGTTTTCAAGATGCTACAGGAAAAAAAAATGGGCATTTTGCTCACATTGTGTTCTCAGTATTAGGTTTTTTTAAATTTGTGTTTTGAACAAAAAACTGCACTCCTTTTCATATCCTTTTCTGTGAATTGGCTGAGTTACCTTATGTTTTGGGATAAGAACTTCTTCTGTACTTTTCTTCCTTTACATATTAAAGGCTATGAAAGTAAGTGTTAGCAGTAACTCCTCTATTGTATATACCTAAACCACAAACAAATTACAGTCTTTGTTTTTATTTTGGCAGTGGCCCTTTAAGTACAACATGGATGGAAGCAACAGCAGCAGAAAAGCTCCTTCCCAACTGATTTGTTATTCTAAGATATGAAATGTTTGGTATTTTTATCCAGTGCATTAGTCAGTGTTGCAAAGCACACTCTGAAACTTCATAATGAACTGGATGCTGGAAGAAAAACCCTGAGGAGAGAGAGGGGGGAGGAAAGACATAAACAGCTCTTCACTTCCCTTTTTTTTCAAAAAAATAGAAAAAAGAACATAAAAGAGACATTGCTGTCTGAAATCATAGTAGTTTTTTGTCCCTGGAAAGTCAGTAAAGCCAGATTTTCTCATCACACTCAAATCCAGGAAAATGCCCTTCTTTCCTTTTTCCTTTCCCCTCCCTCCCAGTAAAACCCAGATATGAAACTAAACCAAGTAATCCTCATGTTTCTTACTGGAATTCGTACGTCCAGCAAGGGCTGCAGCACCTAGGACTTGCCAAAGAAATTCTGTTGGTTTTGACACGTGCTAGTAATTTAAAAAAGGAATTTCAAATACATTTTTTTTCAAAATTGATTTGATTATTAGTCAGACTTACAAAAATAGCAGTGTTTCAGGTATGTTTTATGTCTTAAAAGGCCTATTTATGTTTACAAACCTATTATCTAGATTTGTTTATCTTATCCTACAAGTTTTAGTGTTCTCTTTTGATAGCAGGAGCCTGTTGTATCTGCACTTCTAACACCACAGAGAGAATATTTGAACAGCCTGTACAATTCCTCTCTCCTAATGAATACCCGAGAGTTTCAACTCTTTTGGTAAATAATAAATGAAATTCTGCTTGCAGTAGGCTTCCAGACCCCTTAAAAGTTTATCCTAAAATCCTTAAATCTGTGGAATAAACTACTCAGCAATATTCTTCTGTAGACTACAGCTATTTCACCTGCTTGAAAATCAGTTTGTGCTCATGATGTTTCTTGAACTACCATTTGGCCCAAGCAGGAAGCCAAAAGATGGCTTTTCCATTAGCTTTTTATTCCCTGAGAAGAGCAAAAATGAAATAACCTCCCACCATCCTGCTTTACTAATGAAACCTCCAATAATCTTAGGGTGCCACAGGATATGGCTACTTTAATGCTCAATAAAATAAAAATTTACTGCCCATATGGACTGGGGGCAGAAACGTAATGCTGCTTGACTTTTCCTAGAAAAGCTATAGTAGAAAGAGTTACTGTGACATAAAATAGGATGTAAAGTTTCCAGTTGTGGGTAAAGCAAACACTAGAAAGTGCTTTGGAGGGCTCTGAGGAGCTTGATTAGATGGAGCACAGCAGATGTGCAAATAGCACGGATCTGGGCAACGCTGCTCTTCCAGAAGACAGGAAACATTACTGTAACTCGGCAGCATCCCCACATCCAAAGCTAATAAACTATATAGATTACTTCAGGCGACATGCAGTCCAGTGAGGACAGTGATGATTTTAAGCCACTTTACTCTTGCCTTCTTCTGTTGGACTGAGAATTATGCTCCTTCAAGACCCACTACATGTTTTCAGACCAAAAAGCAAACTAATACAGACAAAAATGCTTAAACTAGGACTCTTAAAACAATAGCTCAGCTTCTGTCCATCCCAAGAAATGCTGTATTTCACAGTCTCCAAGAATCCAGAGCCGTGCCTCTGCTTCTGTTCAAAGGTTCCTCAGGCATGGACACGTTGGCCCTTTTCTAGTACAGCTGAGAAGCTAGCACAGTGTAGTCCTCCAGAGGGGCAGGACCCTGTTGGCACTCAGAGCATGCTCTCGAAAGAGAGAGGTACAATGGAGGCAGGTTGATTTTTGCGTTTTGTTCAGTTTGATCTCGAAGCAGTATTCCTAACTTCCATGGACAGCCCCAAAGAAAAGCCGGAGGCGAGGGCACAGGGATGGGATATGGGGCTTAGGCAGGGAGATTATTCCATATGCAGGCACAATAGTGCACTCAAGGCAACAGGAAAGCTGATCCTGAAGGAAGACAACCGTTGAAGCATAATGCTGTTCTTACTGAGCACAATATGAACCTAGTTATTTCTGTGCAAAAGTAGTAATAACTTTTAAAAATCTGGAAGTCACGCCACTTCATTTAGAAATTAAGACCTGAAAACCGCCAACAATTCCTCATCCTTAAAACACCCACAAAGCTAGGCTATCAATATCTGTTTGTTTGTGGTTTTTTTTTTAAATAAGTTATTATTTGCTTGGTGTAAGCGATGCAACTTTGAGCTACCATGTTTGTGAGTGGTGCTTCAGTACCTGCAAAGAAACCCACCTGAGCTTATCTGTGTTATGTGCTGAGCATGCATCTCTCGACTTCTTACCTGCCACCCATGATGAGGGTGCACACCTGTATGTCGGCTCACCAGTGTGGACTTGGCCCCAGGCTTGGGCAGCGTATCATGCGCTCCCTGGCACTTGTGTCCCAGCATCCCCCAGGGATGAGGAGGCTGAACGCAGCTCCCCAGGGACTGCAGAGCTTCTTGGAGCCCAAACTCAAAGACCTGCCTGGCTGGAGGCAGCAATGTGGATAGCGTTGTGGTGGCTGTCACACTGGCCATAAAACGTGAATGATGCTCTTGATTTGAAAAGTGCAGCAGAAAGCAGAAGGGGCAACTTCAGAGGTGCTTCTTTAGCCTAACCAAAAGGCAACATGTTAAAAAACCCAAACTCGCTGACTACTGCTAGAGAAATGCAGCCTCCTACTCTTAAACTCCATTAAAAAAAACCCAAAACTAAGATCCAAGGGGAATTTGTGAAAGGGGAAAGAAATCAACTGAGAAAGGTCAGCTAAGCAGACTTTTTTTAAAACTTGGCTCCTCTTCTGCCCTTATCTAGTTTTTACTTTCCCACTGTGGTAGTGGAAATAGAACCTCAATGCCCAGAAAGACTGTGGAAGTTGCTTATTTCAGTCTGCTGCCTTGTGAAAAGAATAGGAAAGCATTAGGGAAGGCTAGAAAAAACACTAAGTTTGTTATTATAGCGGTCCATTACGTCCATTGACAAGAAACAGGCTTGGCTGAAGGATGAAGATGAGGACACCTATTAAGAGCCAGTCTTGCTTCTGGGAGCTGTAGGGTCTCAGGCAAGGCTTGATTATGAACTCCAGCCTGATCTTCATCTCTGTCAGCAAAACCTTTACTGCTCACATGTCCTGCCACTGCTCCAGCCTCTCTTCCAAAATGGGGCATCAGGACAGCAACTGGTTGAAATCTGAGGGACAATGAATGCCAAGACCTGTTCCACACACAGTATGTTCCCCTCCTATATACTGCCCGCCTTCTGTCTTCCTCCTTGTGCTTCTCCCTCCTTCCACACAAACTTAAAACAATGCCTGGTTCTCCAAGGCATGAGGTACACTGCCCTGTGGGCATAGTTACCACCATAGGGCTGGCGTGCGTGCTATAAATAACCTCTCCAGACATTAAGATCTTGTCAAGCAAGAGAGCAACCTTCTGTCTGAGGGCCTCTCCCCGCTCCCCCTGGCCTGCTACAAGCTGTAAGCAGGAGATCAGAACAACATGCCCACGACCATTTCAGAAACTGGGCATTACAGCAGAGTGACAGCTCCACGACCCTCTTTGTTTCAAGGCTGACCCTTTCCAGAGCTTGCAAATCCACATGCCTTGGATGCCAAAGTGGTTGGCAGTGCCTCCAGACTGGGTTCTCTCACCTATAGGTTGTCTGCTATGGCTTGGGTGAGGCAGGCTGAGTTCTGCTTCTCAGGGTGGTTGGACTCCCATCTTTTCCTCCTCGCACAAGCCATACCCCGATAGCAGGCAAAGCCCTGTGGGTGCATCTGAACCTTACTCCCTGCCCCAGAAAGGGACCTGAATTCATGAAGCTTTATCCTTCCAGGAGGTCCTTCCTCTCCCCGACATGAAGCAGGAGGTGGATGATCCTTTCTATGTCAGCGGAAAACAGGATCCTCTCAGAGTGGCTCAGGAGGTCTTTTTCACCTTAGGAAGTCTGAGACCTCTTTGCATCCCATATGCAAAGATGGGATTCTGAGAGGGCCCCAGTTCCACTCCACCATTGCCCCAGCCTAGAAAAGCCTTCCCAGTTAGGATCTGGGGAATGAGACTGAACTGAAATCTCTAAGGACTTTGGAAATACAAATTTAAAACAGAGATTACCCTTAGGTAAAACTGACAGAGAGGGGAGAGACGGTGACCATGGGAATGGTTAAGGCCTCCTGGCTGAGCAGGGTGGGAGCCCTGGTGAGGAGCAAGGACCCTGGCATAGAGCTCGGACAGTGCATAACCGAGGAAGTATGCGCCCATCCAGGAAACTGCTGACTCTGTGACATGTAAGATGCAAAAAGTTGCTTCCAGCTACTTGCAGTCTTCCTAGCACGGGCGGGGGAGAGTGAGCTGGAAGGACTTTCATTGTATGAGGGCTTTATGCAGTGAGGGGTGAAGGGAGAGGACGGCGCTGAGAGAGGACAGATGCTGCTAGTTGTCTTCTGATGTGCTCAAACTGCCACATAATAAAATTGTCCACATTTTCAGGACACAGAGCATGCCTGAGATTTCTGTCATGGTTCCTACAAGAAGTTATATATTGCAAGTACTTAAATGCACATCCAGTGGCCTCTTTCTCCTTCAGGGAGGGAAAGGAACACTTGGGAACTGCAGACATCCTCTGCTGCCATGGCCAACACTGTGTTCAGTTACGAACCTGTGAGTTAACACTGGGCTTAGACAGTCGCTTTTGACCAAATAGCATTTTTCCCGTGTGTGCGTGTGTCTGTGCTCCTGCGTGTTATAAGAGAGAAGGCTAGTCACTAAGTATCTCTGCCCCACCAACGCGCAGCTCAGGGAAAAAAATCCACCCTACCTCTGCCCTGGCTGGCGAGAGCCCCTGTGCACCCACCGTGCTGGTGGGGACCAGGAGATTCCCCTTCCTGCAGCCCAGCCAGGAGCGCTGCCCACTTTCTGTGACTAACACCATATCAGCCAAGTCTTACACATCTTCTTTCTGTCTTCAACCTTTGCACACCGTGCCATGTCTGCATTTAACCCTCAATAAACCTGTGGAAATCACAGCTCTCCCACGCCACTGCCAGTAATCCTTACGGCAAGAAGGCCTTTGTGCCGGCGACTGGCAGAGCCGCTCTGTGCAGTGGCAACTTCTATTTAACGGCACAGGCAAGTGCTGGGCAGAGGGACTCATCCATCCCACGGAAACACCATCTCGCCTTCTGCTACCTCGTTCTGTTGTCACAGCCACAGCTTTGCTAAGCTGCTCCCTGTTAATCACGCCAAAAGTCACTGCTGATCATGATAAGCCTTCCGGTCCTTCTGTTCTCTCCAAACGTCAGCTACTGGCTGCTAGGCGCCAGCAAAGTTGGAATTCCTGGTGAAACACTGGGAGCTAGTTTCGCTGAGCTCAGCCTTCTGAAGTGACGTGAGATACCACAAGATAAACTGAACTCCACCTTGATGCTTCTGCACCATTTGATGTATGGATCCGACTGCTTGATCACGGCACAGACTGGAAAACTGAAACTGCTTTAGGACACTTTCCATTAAATCAGCTGCAGTGCATGCAGTCATACTGGTGAGTATTTAGAGATTTATTTTTTTTTTAAGAAGAAGAATAAAGATGCAGCTAGATGCCCTGTTGTTAGCACCCGTGCTGATATGAAAATAAAGGGATTAAATTCTTTTCCATGTAATGCACTGCTTTCCCCTCACCTCTTTCCTCTTCACCTGAATGCCTGTGGTCTTCAGAGGGGCAACAGAATGAAAAGCTCTTTCTGCATAGGCAGGTCCAATCACCCCTCCTACAAATCTTAATCCATCGAATACTTGGCAGGGTTTCAACAAAGAGCCATGGGGCCTCCGGTTCCCCCACGCAGAGAATCTGGCCCCGCTGTGACCCTGTCACGAGCTCCGGCCTGCACATTACAGAATTATTTTTTTCCCTTTCCATCCATCCTGAAAGCAAGGATGGAAATTTAAGAGTTTATAAAAAAGAGATTTGGTAATACCAGACATGCAGAGAGCCATCAAACCTTGCAGAGAACCAGACTGACAGAATAAACGGAGTAATGCTACTCTGGGAGTTTAACTGTTGGTATCTTACAGTGAATGCAACACTATGGAGAGCTATTTACTCCACAGTATAGTAATCTTACATTGCTTTCATTATTTGGCTAGAAAGTATATTAATTGAATTGAGAACAATTTTAAAAAATAGAAATGTTTATGTTGGATTTTCTGTCCTCTTGTCATTTTCCTCATGACCATCACATGGCTGCTTTCAGAGTCAGGGCCATTTTCAAGCATAGAACTTACTCATGATAACCATCCTTGTTTGAGCCCAGTGAAAATAAATACAGGTTCCAATTTCAGCTCCCAGTGAAAATAAATACGTGTTCCAACTTAAGCATATGGCTCTCTCCCGCTCCTTTCCTCAGGTGAAGCAAGGCTCAGGCTGTTTTCTTACCTGGGTATGGCACTCTCCCTTTTGTTACCAGCTCTGTCAGTAGGATCCCAAAAGACCACACATCCGACTTTATTGTGAACCTTCCATACAATGCCGCTTCTGGCGCAGTCCATTTAATGGGAAACTTTGCACCTAATGAAAGAATAAAGGAGGCTTAATCAGAATAGAGAATCAAAGTACCAGTTGGCAGGTGATTGCTTTGTTCTGTGCAGGCAGACAGAGCTGCAGGCAAGTGTTAACAGACAGCTCCATGGAGTACGCTCAAGGAGGACGGGTGGGTGGAACGTGTAGGGCAGAAGGAAAGACTTAGCAGGGAAGGGGTGAGTTTGTCCCACATCCCAAGAGAAGGCTAAGACATTTTAGTTCTGGTTTGAAGCTTCATGAAAGAAAAAAAGTTTTAAAACCCAATAAGCCAAATATAATAGAAATTCTTTCTCGCAAAATGTTTTAAATTAACATTTCCCTGTGATATTTGCAAGTCAAACACAGCTAGCACGTATGAACTGAAGTGAGATTTATTAGAAATTTATTAGAAATTATATAGAGACCTCCCAGTTTCCCTGCTCAAGCTGAGCAAAATGCAAAACAAACAAACATGGTAAAAACGTAAATTAAAAACAAACCTAATATTTCATTAGAAACATGCAAGGACTTAAAAATAATACTGCCATTCGAGTTGCTTGGAGTGCAATGATGTCAAGGCACAACTTTGGCCTGTGATTTATAGCTTGACAGTGTACTTTAAGCTCCTGGCACTGAAAAGCCCGTAGTGCCTCGAATACGTGCAGTTCTAATGTGCTCATCCATCATCAGAGCTTGCAGGAGCCAGTTGTGGTAAGGATGGTAAGATAACAAGCCTTTAAACACTGATTTATTTGCTTTTCCAATCATTTACTGTTTTCTTAGGGAAAATATTTTCAGTATGACTTTAAAGAAAAGTCTTGTGGCAATAATTAACTCCTAGTATGTATGAAAAAATATGCAGACATTTCCCTGGTGCCTTGTATTAACATACAGGCAAAAGAGTTGCATTGCAGCTTCTTGCTGATCCCTAATGACAAACACTCTTGAATTTGGAAACAGACAGATTTTGACTTCTCACCACCCTCTCATAAAAGTTCCCTTAGCTTTCAGGAGGAGTGTGGAAAGTGTAACAACGTGGACAAATCACTCTCAAGGAGTGAAGTTTTGGCACTGTTTACAGTTCCTTGCCGGCGCTGCTCTGCTGTCACAGCCAGCGCTCGGTGCCCCGTATCTTCTGCTGCTTATGCTGCAGTCTGACCTGTCTCAGGGTACGAAGCAAATGTGGTCATTCTCATCTCCTTACTTGGTAAAACATCAGGTGTGCTAGAAGTTTTCCTGCTCTACGTGTAAGTGATCCTAAGAGAGAATATTACTTAGAAACAAATATGTTTTTCTAGGGAAAACTGCAGTTGCTCAAGTAAGACTTGCGAAATTAAAAGACGCAAGACAAAGTTTCAAATCCCTAACGTCTGAAGTCAGGAATTTAAGTCTAGTTAAGTATCAACACATCAGTGGTTTGATTTGCAAAGGTGCTGGAGGGTTTGTGGATGTCTGTTCACTTCCAAAAAAGTCAGCCTCTTCTATGTTTCCATTAACTGGTATGTAGGCAGGAGCTAAAATTCAGGTGCTTGGCTTTGGCCTCAGTCTCCCTAACTTACACTTCTTCACGGGACCTATCTTAGTTTACAAGACTCGAAATCTACTTCATCTTCTCTTGAAACTCGCCTTGGCCATGATGTCTGAGATCTGCCATCGCTTGTGCCTCTGTCCTGGAAGCTGTCCCCACTCCAGCAGCACCAGCAGCCACGTGGGGTGGGCAACCGGCTCCCCCAGCCACCGGCTGGTCCTGGGGCTGGACAGCCCTCCCTAGTCCCTGGACGAACTGCAAGCTGCATGCATCGGGGAGGTCGCGTTCCCTAGGCCTGCAGGGCATGGCTTTAGGTGGGCCTATGGAGGCATGCCTTGAATCTGAGGGCTGATGTCCCCCCGCCCTCTCATGCGTGCAGCGGAGACAGTACACAAACACCAGGCCAGCTGAACGAATAGCTCCACGCTGGCCGGCAGCCTGATGGCCGGGATGTTGGCTGGTCGTGTGTGAGACAGCCAGGCATGAGGGTTTGCTTGTTTGCTTGTTGCACACATTTTATTCAACAATATATTTTTTTTTATCAGCTGTGTTTTTCGGAGAGGCTGAGCCAAACCTGGTCTAATTCGCTTGTGCTTCGTACTCAGATCCAAAGGTAGCAACCACCCACAACTCATCTTTGAAGAAAGAAATCTCTTCAGACTCCTTTGTGGCCAACCCCCCCAGTATTTTTGCCTTCCTCATCTACTGCCAGTGTGGCATCAGGAGCTGAGCGTGTGGAGTGTCCAGGGACCATGTGAAGAGGAGAAGCAAGATAAGTAGGTGAGAAGGGAGACGATTCCAACACATCCCTTTTCCTGAGAGCTAGAGCAGTACAAATCCCACTGCTCCGTGATGAACGCTGCTGGACAAGACCAACGGTCTGTGCTGTGGATTTTCTGATGAGAAGATAGCTACTCATTACATTTCTATGTTGTCCCTGCTGCTGGTGATTCTCTGGCCGAAACAACTAATACAAAGATCACACGTTCTGCATTTTGTGCAGTATTTTCTGAGCTTTGGTTTGCAGTGATAGATGGGGAGGAGGGAAAGGCCAGCTTGGCAGACAGGTTGCTAGCAGAGCCCTGCTGCATGGTTTTCTGGCCCTGCAATGCATGCTGCAGGCTAGATGGTCCAAACGAGCCCGCAACCCAGTATGACAGAGCCATCAGTAAGGGGAGAGCAGAGGCCAGCAAGGACGTGCCGGGCTGGCCACCCGCACAGCCGCAGGTACGACGCACGCAGTGCTGTAACACAAAGCGATCGCACACACAGAGCTTGTGTGAGCAAGGATCAGCAACAGCGAGGGCGAGCGGCACATTTCTGGGCACCACCACAAGCTACGTGTGCTTCCAGAAGAGCCCAAACAGGTGGCAGCATCACCGCTGCAGCGTGAGCCATGGGTGTGTGGTGTGGGTACAGTGACATTTTGCAGTGAGTAACAGGGATCCCCTCAAGGTGCTGCCTCCCATCTCATGTCTGGCACTGGAGACACAGCCAGTGCACTTCTGTGGAAACACAAAAATCCCCAAACGTGTTGAGCGCCGCTCCAAAGCCTCCCGATTGCTACAGCTACGGGAGGTGCTGTGCATGGCTCCTGGCCGACACACAGCCTCTGTACTCGCTCTCTTCCCGACACACCAATTAAAAAATCCCCCCTCTCTCTCTGCCAAGGTCTCAGCAGCTTATTAAACGAGCTGACTTTGTGCTGCAAACAAATTGCAGCATCAGATCGTCAGATAAAATGAGTATTATTGACAAGCATGCTAATAAACCTGATAAGCCAAATTACCCCAGCTGACAAGGCAGCCTGTCTCCTACTTTAAAGGCAGATTTTACATCAGTGGGGGGGATTTGTCTCTTTTTTTTGCTGGAATCCGTTTCATTACAAACTAGCAGGTCAGTAACGCCACACATACAAACTAAACATGCACTGTGTTCATTAGGTCAGGATAGCCTGTCTTTGCCCGAAAGCAAGGTACTAATCTGCAGCTTTTATTTCTGTCCCTTTTTTTAAACATCTCAGCCTGGGGAAAGCCTTTTTTGGATTCCTGCACTGCTTGCAATCACAACAAGCCGAAGCTGTTCGTACAATTTACTGCTAGGGCAGCTGGCCCTGCCTCCTACCTCTGAGGATTTTTGTGAGGCTCATCCCTGTTCTTGGGACCTCTGCCCAGCTCTGCCCAGGCGTTCACACAGGTTATCTCCCAGGAGGATTTCCATGGGAAAGATCAGTCCGTGGCCCTGCTTTAATTCTGCATTGGCTACAAGCAGGTCGCGTGACGAGAAGTAGCGGAGGGGGCTGGGATAATTGAGTGACCTTGACGTACAACTCTCAGCATGATTTCTTTTGAGGCAAGTGAAAATCCCTCAGAGCTTTGTTTTTTCAGATCTAAATCTCCACGAATCAGAAACCTCTGAAATTCATGCCCCAGAGCCACCGACAGCTTGATAATGATCCTCTTTCCAGAAACGCTACAAATCTGCTACCTCTCGTACCTTAAAACCAAACCCAATGCAGCACCCCGAGCTCTGAGACCCAAAACCCACGGGAACTCTCGGGTTAGCGACCAGAGAACGGAGTGCAGCAGTGAATTGCTCCCAGGGCTGGAAAGGAAAGCCACAAAAGGTAAAAACAAAGTGCTGAAGCAAGCATGTAACAGGAAACGAGTCAGCCCTGGTAGGCGATGATGAGTGCCGTGTGGGAGGGACTGCGCAATTACATTTTTTGTGCTGTGAGAACGAATGCGAAATTACAAGCCTGGCAAAACACCAGCGACCAGAAGCAGGCTCCGCAGGCTGACCCCTCCCCGGGAAGCGGGGGGCAAGCGGCAGAACTGCGGGCCAAAACACCCCTCTCGCCCTCCGCCTGCACGCCTGCTCCATGGCTCGCCCGGGGCACGGCAGGCACAGAGCAAGAACAAAGCCCGGGACGCTACAGCCCGCAGCATGGCCAGTTGTGAACAGCAGAGATCTGATGAGTTGGTGAGCTGGGAGCCAAGTCTCCTCAACAGGACTGGGGAGAGCCTGGAAGGGGGAAAAAATCCCCACTGTTTTCTAGGAGATCAAAATAGGAAGCAACATTTGTTTTTAAGCAGAGCAGGAAGGAGGTATTTCTAAGTGTTAAAGAGGTAAAAATGATCTGAGAGTTTACAAACACGTACTAGAGCTCCCAGAATAGCTCTGACTTGTCTGGAAGGCATCAGAAAGATCCTTATTGCTTCGTGTGTGCTTGGAGCGGCGTTGCTGCAAGTGCTGCCAGTGTATGCAGTAGAAACAAGGCCTGGAAAATAACTCTGTACTTTTTTTTATTAAGGCAATTTTAAATTTGTATCAGCTGCTAGTGCTTAGAATAGTAACAACTCTTCCTCAGCAACTCTGCGGAGCACTCGGTACTCTCCACAAAAATGCCATGTGCTTGGCCACAACTCCACATCGCTGCGAACCAGCACAGTGCAAGGGTAGCAGAACTGTGTTGGAGGTGATGGGAGGTTTCTTTCTGTCCTATAGGATACCAGAGGCTTTAAGGCTTGCCTTACAGGACTGACACAAGCATCATCACCGATGGAAGGAAACAAGACTGAGTGCCCGACGCTGTGTGCAGGGGAAGCTGTCTGTTGCTGCTGCAGCAGCCAAAAGAGGCAAGGCCTGATGGTGCAGGCTGCACTACACTTCACCGGTGTAGCCTTTAAAATCAGCGTCACTTTAATAGGCATGTTTTTCCTCTTTGATTACTCACTTCCTCTCAAAAGCAAGAGGAGCCAAATGCTCATTACAAGCCAAGAACTCTTTTTTGCATTATTTAATGGCAGCGTATAGCTGCTAGTCACACACTTTAAATCATTAATGGCGTGACCATCTCTTTCCTTCCTGATGATTGCTGAGAAACGGCAGTGCAGACAACAAACCGCTTTTTATTTACCTCTCATAAATCAGAAGCAGTCAGGCCTCCTTTGTTCAAATTAAAAAGAAAATAAACCGGTCAGTAAAACGTTACCACCAGGCTGAGTAATACCCATACAGGTTCAGGAATCCTGCACTCTAGCCCGCCGGGACTCAAAGCATCCCCATCTGTTTCCTTTCAAAATATTTAATCGGAGACAACAGTGACAGTGGGGGAAGGGAGCAGGAGATCAACAAAGGCTGGAGAAAACCATCTCTGCCCCACACCGACAACGAGCTCTATGCTAACACACTTAGGCCAAGAGAAGGATGACTGCTGAGGAGAGAGTGACCAAAGGCTTTAATCTTCAGATTTCACAAGGCAAAACATTTCCTTTCTCCCATAGGAGCTGCCAGTCTGGAGTGCTCCCCGTCCCCCTCCCCTCTGCTGGCCAGGCTCTCCTCCTGTGTCAAAATTCCCACTGAAGCAGTAGTCAGCTAGATAAACAGAGCAGTCCCCAGATGCATCCCCTTGGAGGCTGAAGTAATAGGTCATGGGAAACAAGCAGAGGCAACCATTTCCTTCTGATACTGTGGGCTCCACCAAGCGATGCTGAAACTGAAGTTTAACTAAACAAACCAGAACCGAATCCCACTTGAAGAAAAATTCCAGTGGCACATTAGAAACCTTGTTTCTCCCTCAATAAATTAAAGGTCCTAGGCTCACCCTGGCTGCCCAACTAGCTTGGAAGCCAGGTTAATTGCAATTAGATGTAAATTGAGAGTGTGCTGCTTGGTCAAAAATGCACCCCTCCCTAGAACAAGCTACCACTTCAGAAAGGATCAAAAAAAACATTAGCAAAAGGAGGAAAACCTTTCTACAGAATGCCTGTGATTACAGCCCTTTGGGTCTCACTTTTAAGGAATTCTGTAGCTCTGAAGGACTTAAGCCTGACCCTGAGGTCAGGGGAAGGAAGTATTGTCCATTGCCCTGAGGTATGAGAAGGACAGGTGACCTCTCCAGACTCGCACCGTGAGAGGAAGCCAGGCAAACACTATTCAGATCTCCTGATCATCAGCGATGCAGGTTAAAAGCCAAACTACTTCTTCCTTCCCAGCCACTTTTTCCACTATACAAGTGGTTTCTACCATGGAAGTTCTACCATGACTATGTTCCCTCTCCCTGCCAGTCCTGGTGTTATGCTTTTCTCAGATCAAAGTTTTCCCATCCAAATCCAATTATTTTTAGTGTCTTCAAAAATCTAAGCTTCTCCTCAACATGAGTCAGGCAGGTTTTCACAGTGAAGAGGGCAAAACTATTCTGAGAGATTTAAATCAGGAAGCAAACAGGACATCAGAGGATTTCCTAGGGATCAGGAGCCTGAAGAGGTCTGGCCAGAAGTAGGTCACATACTTCTCTATTAAACCAAATAATTAGTCATGTCAAAATATACGTTGGGTGGTTTCCAAAGGGAATAAAAGACATGGCAGTAAACCAGACAGAAACGGAGATAATACAGGTTTCAAAGCCATTTTGCAGACTGGATCTGGCTGCCTTGTTCAAGGAAAATGCTTCTCGTTTTACACAGGGGAAGGGCAAGCAGGCAGCTTTCTGTCTACCAGAGCCTGCAGACACCCTTGTTACTCTGGGGAGAACGACGCGAGGCCATTTTTTCTAGCAAGGAGTAATTTCCACCCTCAGGCTGAAATCAATAGTGGTTAACTCTCTGCATTAGTACCTCCCACGGGTTCTTCAAGGTCCCCCCCCAAAAATAATCACGTGAAGCAGGCAACTTTCAGGGTGAACACAGCCTGTGGTCCACATCCCTGCGACTGCGACGAGGTACTGCTGACAGCAGCGCAGAGGGGTGTGAACGGCGTGAGAGCGGCGGCTCCCAGGCCAAGGCAAGGCGTGCTGGAAACTCTCTGTCCCCTCCTGTCAACACTTGAAAGTTACAGAAAGAGGTTAGCTCTTCCCTAAGAGTTAGTGGCAAAATCCATGCTGAGACAGGGACTTCTGCTCAAGAGAAAAGACTCGCAACAGGAAGGGGTAAATGCAGGTTATGAAGAAGTACTTCACCGACCCGTGCTTTCTGATGACATACAACAGGGTCTAACGGGACACTCCTTGGCTTTGGCCCCGAAATGGATGGAGTGGTATTTACCGACACTTATTGAGCAAGCACCACCAATGTACTGCCAACAGCAAGAGAACAAAACTGCAGCTCTGCAAACTTGGACCAACATCTGACAACTAAGCATGACTTGTAAAGAATGACTAACTACAAAGAGCCTGTGTCATGGCTCAGTCTGAGCACACATATGCTTTTTTAAAAAAGCTACAGTACGCTTTGATGCATTTTTGCAGTGTATCAGCGGTCAGCTGTGCCCAGCACTCTGTGTGGCATTGGAAAATGGCTTTCCTATTAAAGTAACTTTTTAAGTTCCCAAATAAAACATAGTGCTCAGAGAGACAGCTCCACTGCATAGAGACACAATTCTTTCACTCGTTTGAAATAAAGAAAAAAAGAATAGCACAGCAATGCTGATAGCAGTTAGTAACTACTAGAAGGCACACTACAAAAAAAATAGCTTATATAGGCTTTTCTGGATTGCCCCTTTCAGGCTTTCAAGGCTGGTAAATAAAGTGTCCTCTTTTTTATGGTACCGTGAGGATCTTGTCTTTACTATCACTTCACCCACCTGTGCTCTCAGTCATTACCTTTGTTTCATTGTGGTTGGTTTTTAAAGGGAAGACAACTAAATAAGATGTTCTCTTTAGGACATGCATTCAGCAGTGAAGGTCTGGCCTAGGAGTTAATACAAGTTCATGATTTACTGAAAGCAACCCCAAAGCCTATGAGAGAGAGCTTTTTAAAGCCGTGTTCCACTCTTCCCCTGTCACAAGAATGACACTGAGTGCTACACCTGCCACTGTATCTACCTTGTCTGGCCGTATATTCATTGTCTTCAATCAGTCTTGCCAATCCAAAGTCGGCAATCTTGCATATGAGGCCATTCCCCACCAGAATGTTTGCAGACCGCAGATCTCTGTGTATGTAATTCATTCGCTCGATGTACGCCATTCCTGCAGCCACCTGTGAGTACCATGAAACACAATCAGTGCATCTTAAAATGAACTCAGACATACACGGGCTGTATAACATGTACACCTAAGCACTCAATACTCTGAAGACAGACCTGGGCTGCCATGTCCACCAAATTCGGTAACTTCAGAGCTCTTCCTTCTCCGTCTTTTAAGAAATCTAGCAAACTCCCTGCAAATGCAAAGTTGACACAACAAAGAGATATTAGGGGAACAATGGCTATTCATCAGGACAGCCGAGCAGCAAAATGTGTAATATTAAAGACAGCAATGTTTCGAGTTCAAGTGGACAGTTTCAAAAAACCCCGCAATATCTTAGAATTCTCCTATTACACTTGTTTCACTCTGCTTTACGGTTGGCTTGCAGAAGAATATTTCATTAGTCCAAAGAGAGTTGCAGGGAAAAGAAACAACATTGTTTAAAATTTTCCTGACCATTACTGAGAAAGCTGATCTTTCTTCATTTTTCCAGTGCTCTTTGAAACAAACTACCTGCTGCTCTCTAAAGGCCTCAGCTAGCTGCAAAGCATCAGCTCAGCTCCAAGCCACACAAGTTATGGAAAAAGTCGGATCCCAGCTCAACCTGCTCCAAAAGAAAGGTCAGCCTGGAGCCTGGTAAGCCCAAAGGGGCTAGCATTAACAAAGGCTAATTTTCCTTAGAAATTAGCAGTGCTCCTTCTCTAGGTAACCCGTAACTAAATGTACCATGAACCATTGATTTTAGAAGACCACTATGCAAAACAACAGAAGACAAAGCAGAGATCAAATGAAAGCAATTTTAGCAAAAGCAGTAAGGACATAACTCCCCCTGTACAAGGGAAAGCCAGGAGGTTCTCTGCAGCTTTCAAAAAAAGCCTAGGATGCTATAGCTCCCTTCCCAATCTTGCACTCAAGCAGAGAAGTGCAGCAGTCTCCTTTAAACAAGGTCAGTGAATTGGTCTAATAAATAAGGGGAAAAGACAGATGATTAGGCGTTTCTCCCTTGATAAATTGCCAGCCCCATGCTCAGATCCAAAGATGTAAAATGCTACAGTAAAAACTAGCAAAGTAAGCCAAAATAAACCACGTACTTCAGAAGGATTTTGAGAAGTCATTTTTTTAAAGGGGAAAAAGGCACATGCTTGTCACTGAGACATTTGATTAAAGCATGAGTTAGTCAGGGCTTGGATGGCTCTGAGGAGGGAGGTGGGCAGGCACCTGCCAGGAAAATAAAAATCAACTCCAGATAGACTGAAAAAATGCACTTAAAATTTCAGAGTGTATCCTCCAATGTACAATGAAACTTCCCTGTGAGAACTTATGTTTCCTATTTGGTTCATGTGCTTTTCCAAAACAAGCAGATTTTTCACTCTGCTCTCAGCACCCCTGCTGGAGGTCTGACGGAGCGAAAAGTTTTCCTTCTCTCATTTTACTATATCGTTACCAGTTAAGTAGTGGTAGAGAAGCAGAGAAGAAAGAAGGGGAAAGGGAAGGGGAAAGAGGTGGAAAGAATCATATGTGTCAATCATGCATCAAAATGACAAGCGGGGTACACTGAAAATTAAGCTGTGATCTGGGAGCGAGGCGCATGCAACAGAACTCAGGATTGCTAAAAGAAGAAAGAAATCTTAGGCTGACAAGTAAACACTGAAAGAAGATGCCATATGAGCTCTCTGAAGCCAGAAACAGCTAGGATCTCGGGAAGCAGCATGTAATATCATTCGAACCTGGAAAATGCAAGTCTCCACTTGCCAGAGAAGTTTGGAAGCACTTAGGCTGTACTGACTTCTCCCTTCCCCACCTAGAGCAATTTTTCTTTGTTCGTCTAGTGGATTGCAGGTTTTGGACCCATTTCAGAGTTGAATTCATAATTCTTCTGAAGCCAGAGGTGAATTTAGCTTCCTGTTCCCCCTCCCCTTCCTCACACGCTGTTCATGCATCACACTGCACGTCTCTCTGCACCCCCAAGGATCATCAACAAAGTAAAAACACTGTTATCAAGGGCAGCAGCTCTGACTTCACCTTTGCTCATGTACTCCGTGACAATATAGATAGGTTCTTCAGATACCACAGCATAAAGTTGGACCAGTTTGTCATGTTTTAGCTTCTTCATGATTTGGGCTTCCTCTAAGAAGGATTCTGGAGACATAGTGCCAGGCTTCAAGGTCTTGATAGCCACTTTAGTATTTCCATTCCACGTACCTACAAGCACAGATACTTAGTTAGATTAAACATCTTCTGCTCCTTCCTCTGCCTGATACCTAATGTAACCAGGGAACAAACTAGCAAGGACACTTAATATTACTATTTTTTTAAAGTTTCCCTGTTCCTCCCATGCCTCCCACATATTTAGTCTTTTTCTATCATACTAAAAAATAATACTCCCACTGGCACTGGGGCACAATCGCCGTTGTCCTACTCAGACAATGCTTCCACTGATGTCCACAGAAACCTTCTCTGAGTAAGAAACGTGGGACTGTTGAAACCCATCTTCATGTATTCCCTTGCTAACAAGTAATTGCTACAGACAACAACACAGCTCCTGTCGCAGATTTGGATAACAAAACTGGTTAAACCCAGAACTTTCCATTTGCAAGACACTTTAACATTTTGTTTTTGTTCTGAGTCAGAGAAAAAAAAATATTGTAAGAAAAATTCCCAAGAAACAAATTCTGAATTGATTTCATTTTAGAAACATGGGTGTGTTTCCAAACCAAAATGTTTCTTTTTCCTTCCCCTCCTCATCCCCAGAAGCCCAGCAGCTGCTGATTGGAAATGAGGTGGTTCCTGTCCACATCACTTTGTTCTTTACTTGTGGTCAGCACTGAAATGGCCAAGTTGCGCCATTTTTCAGTGATCATCTACCAAGCCTTCTGTAACACCTGAAAGCCTGCACAAGGCCCTGGAGAGAGCTGGGGAAGGCTGACTCAGGGCATCCCACAAGAGGTGGGGCTTCACTCCGGTGTCTGTAAGGGGGAGAAGGAGGACTGGAAAAGAAAAAAAAAAACCCACCTACCGATGTTCACAGGTTTCTTTGGGGGTGGGGGGCTGGGAAGGGAAAGGAAGGGAAATGAAAATGGGCAGAAATATCACTTCTGGTTGTGCCTTGCCCAGACTTGCCAGAACCCTGCTCCAGAGCCAGGGCTGAAATGGCTTTGAATGGGACCCGTGATCTGTTGACAGGGAGCTGCTGTGCGATAAGGCAGAACAATACTAAATGTTTTCCGGAATTAATCATGTTGGGTAAAAATTGCTCCTCTGCACTTAAGCATGAGGATAGCAGAAGGCCTACAAAGAACATGAAGACTCAGAGTCAGATCTAGTTTCTATAAATTGTCATCAAAAACGGCAACGTGCAAAATAAGCCTGGCCTGTCTTTGTAAAAAGTACATTAACAGTCACCAGGGCTCAGCTGCTGCACGGGAACTGGTTAAGCCAAAATAACTTCATCACAAGCTTTTGCAAACTGCCAGAGCATAAAATGAGCTGGAATTTGTGCAAGTGGTCAGATCCCAGCTGCCACCTCCCCTAGCCGAGGACAGGGGAGGAGCGGTGGGCGAGCGGGGGGGGAGCCCCTGCCTCTGCCGCCCCTCGCTCGCAGGGCAATCCTCGCAGCAGCACACGGTGCTGTCGGAGCGCACCTCGAGGCATCTATCAGCCAAAAGGGTGCAAAAACTCGGTTTTCACTATGCCTTGATTTTCTTCTGCCAGCTCAGTGCCCCGTGCTGTTATCTCTACCAGTGGTGGAGTAATGTCTGGAGGTACCACTGCTGCTACCCCGGAGGGCTCCTGAGGTCTCAGTTTCACTCAGCCCTTCAAATCAGAGCTGAGGCAGGGCTTTGCTTTAGCGGCGCTCCCGTGCGAGCTGGGAAGGATGAGTTTTCACCGCCTGATTTCAAGCAGGGTGACCAAAACCTTTCCTGATGTGTGAAAGGGAGCGTGTTTCATCTGGAGCCACTGAGGCTCTGGACTGCAGAGCACCGTCAGCCACAGCCACTTTGCAGAGGTCCCGTGGGTTATATGAACCAGGAATGAAACCCCGGTCTCATGGCACCAGGGTTTCTGTCACTGGCATTAATAAACTAGGGTTCTGCCTCGTGTGTTAACAGGATTAAGTGTGTATTGTCTGTTTGCATTGCCTTAATAAAAAACCTAGGACTTGTTCCATTACCATGAAGCATTTTCAGCAGTTGTATTTTTAAATACTTTTATGAATTTCTCCAGTTAAAAAAAGAAAAACAAACAAAAATGTTAACTTATCCTCTTAGCCCAGATTTCAGTTTAAATCGTTAGATTTCCTTGTTGTGCTTTGGTATTTTTCCTCTAATAGAATATCAGCAGAGATCTCCCTCTGAATTCCTCACATATGTAGTTAATGACTACTTAATGCATTTTTTATTAATTTTTACTGTGCTAATCTACTCTGATTTAGTAATGGTTGAGGGGTGTTAACATGTTTTTACTATACATTACTTTAAGAAACACAAGCATTTCTGACAGATACTTAGTACTGATACTTGGCACTGTATTTCTCATAGCTGTTTTGTGGTTTGTTTTTTTTTTAAACTGCATTTGCTACTTTAGCTTATTGTAACAGTTTAAGATCTACGACACACAGAGCTGACCACTAAGTATTAACATCAACTTGAAATTCTCTCTTGCATTCAAGACCGAGGACAAGAAGATGAAACTGCAGTTCTCTGGGGATGCTAATATAAAACACAGGTAGTTTTCTTTGCAACAGGTCAACTGCAATTCTGTGAAATTCCATAATTTCAATGTTTCTAGTCTATAAATTCTATAAATTTCACAGACTTGCTGCTGTGCTCCTTGCTGTAGTCTTGCAATGGAAAACAGCTGCAAGAACCCAGGAGAGCCTGCTGGTTATTTTGATTGTCCATATTTTTGTGTCACTGCAACAAAAAGAGCAGCCAAACTGCTCCACTGAATGATTCTGACGTAAAGAAACTACATACAGTGATTCTTTATTTGAACTGGTCATTTTTTAAAGAGGCTACAATTTGTGCAATTTGGCACAAAAATTGAGCCCACCTCTCATTAAAAGGCCACTATATTGTGTTTCAATGCTATGGCTATACTAAGATTTATGTATATTTTAAATTGCTATTGTTTTATAGTCATTAAAAGAATGGGGCCCACAGAGAAGGGAGCGGTAAGTAAAGCTGGCAAGTGTGCAGAAAACAATGTCAGTGGATTTGGAAAATGTCAGTATTTCTGGGCTTCAAAGTGGGGGTTCAGCTGGGCTGGGCAAGCCTTGCCTCTGTTGTCCCTGGTCTCTATATCGAGTTACGGGATTCTGCTGCAGATACAAGTTTCAAAACAGATTTAAAGTGGATGCATGGGAAAGCTAGCTTGACAATATCAGCTTGCTGATACTTGCCATTATTTTTAAACTGGGAGGGCAGATGGAAGCGTTTCAGGGCCTGACCCCATGAATACTAAAATACATGAGGAAAAAAAATGTCTACTTACCAGACGAATTTCTAGTTAGCCATTCTGCCTTGCCAGTTTAGCATCGTTCCTATTTCAATACCTAGCAATTATGTAGTCACCCAAATAAACCCAATGCAAGTAGTGAAGCTGAATGCCCAAACCTTTCGTACCAGTGGGTGCAAATGAAAGGCAGTTTCCCCGTGGATTACTGTATTTAGGTCTGACTGGTTTAGGCGATACAGACTAACATTTCATACTGTTCCGATCTTTTAGCTTTAAGATCTCTACTTGAAATGCTTATTTCTGCCAAGAGGGCCTTAAAAGATCCATCCAAAGCAAAATATATTCTCTGCCTTACCACGCCACACTTCAGCGAAACACCCCTGACCAAGCTTCTGTTCCAGAAATAATGAATCACGTGCAACTTCCCATGCATCTTTAGCCAATCCAACAGTTTGTGGGGTATTATTCGTAGCAATCACAGTTAAGTTAAAACACAAACCATCAGCTTTCTCTATAGGAGAGGAAATTAATAAAAAAAACACACTTATAATCCAAAATTATGCATGCATTGAGAAAGATGGAAGGTGACTTGTCTCTCAGCGCTGCATTAAAGTTCAGTTGCAAACACTGACTTTTGGATACCAAAAGTAAGGACTTTTTTGTTAGCTCGCAGAAAAAAGCTCCTTGGTATAATTAATGGATTACTATGTGAGCCTTGATTTATTGCTGAGACAGTGGTAATTTGTCAAAATCGAAACCTTACAAGGAAACACGGAATTTCAGTTTTCTTTTGCCATCAATTACAGTGAAAGTTGAAGATTAAAGAATTTCAAAGTCAAAGACACGTTTCCAAAGGTATTTTTCCGAACAGTTTGAGCTTTGCTCATTTTTTTTCTTGTGGGTCACCTTGTCCTTAACATTTTCACCTTCCATCTTGTCATCCCCACACACAGAGAGCTATTTTAGAAGAATTATTTTGCTCCATACCCATCCATACTTCCCCAAACTGCCCATTTCCCAGTCTCTTGATCAACTGTAGGGATTCTCGTGGAATTTCCCAGACATCTTTGGTTTTGACAGACAGATCAGTAAGCCTTGGCATTCCTTTATGACAGGGGACTACTAAGCGGCAGCAAAGACCTGCAGCTCTCTCTGATGGAGCCAGAAGTGAAGCCAACAGCAAAGGAGAGGAAAGAAAAAAAAGTGTGACGTGAAACAAAAACAGTAAGCATAAAAACAATGCTACTCACAACAGCTGTTAGTTGCATACCACAAAGCATCCTGGAAGATTAGAAACTGAACACTGAAACATATTTATTTGAGACAGAATAGGAAATATTTTAGTCTTTGCTTCCACAGCCTGAAATGGAAGGTGACCGCTAACGGTTTCTCTTGCGGACTCAGGATTTCCCTTCTCCCACAATGCTGCACTCAGGTACCTTCATGCGTAACTGGTATACTATAGTACAGTAGAACTTTTTAAAACTCATCTGTAGGTCACAAACTGGATTGTTTCTGAACTGAGTAAAAGAAGCACAGAGAAGATTCAGTTTTTCTGAAAATCACAGCAATGAAAATTTGGTGGACTTGTTTGCAAATTTTTTTCTAGGTATCTTGGAAAAAGGTATTTTCTGTATTCTACGCTGTGAAAAGGTGTTTTTCCAGCTGTCCTGTAAAAGGCTTTTTCTGCCATTCTTTATAGAGCAAAACTTTATTAGCTATGCAGCCAGTCCTACGTTGTTTGGGGCAGGTTCATTACATTTGTCTCTTGCAAAGCTTCACAGAAGACTGAACTGTGACAAAAGTCACAAGATATTTTAGTAGGAGTAAAAATAATGACATATATATAAATACACACATATTGTTGTGTAGTATACTATGCTGCACAAAGCAGACTGCAATTTAAAGCTTGCACAGCGACTTGTATCTTAAAAGAGCTGCAGCAGAGCAGAACAAGGTAGGGAACTGCAATTGTATCTCAGACTCAAACACAATCTTTGTTCTCCTGTGCAAGATTTGTTTCCAGGCAGGTGAACAGCTTGTTTCAGCATCAGATGGTGGGCAAGCACCAAAGCTCCTTACAACACCAAGCTCTACCTCCTCAGCACAAATGTTGTGGGATGGTGGGGAGTTCCCTGCAGACACCCTGACATGGACCTTGTTGTGTTTTCTGTAGCAAGACAACAAAGACCACAAAGCAGGAAAGACGAGCTGACCAGTTGGCACGTCTTATTCCAAGAAAATTCCAATGGGAACTCTAGGAGAGGGACTACTCAAAATATGGATAATATATGGAAAGCTTCCTTATGAGTTTGGACAGCTGCAGAAATAAACTGGAGGTTTTTAAGACCTCCTTGTTTTCTTGAAATGAAAAAAAAATCCTTGGCATGCTGGTGCTCCAGTTAAGCCTACACTGCATGCACAGGAGCTTATGCTTGACAGGGCGGCTGTTAGGGCTTGGGTGAACGGTGCTTCAACTTCAGACGTGCTGTTACTGGACTTTAGTCTAATGATAGGACACCCTGGGGATCTCAATATTTTTCATTTGTAAATCTCGTCTCTGAAAGTCCAGACGCTGCAGTTAATTTTATTATCCAGGTAAGAAGAGGCTGGGATAAGAGGGAAGCCGGGGTAATAAGCACACTTGGCAGTGCAATGGGAGCGCAGTGCAGGGATGCCTGTGCTGTGTCTGCACAAAGGCATGCTTTGTACATTCAAGACCTGACCCAGGACTGCTTACGTGAGACCAGACTGCATGCTGCCTACCCAGGTAGCCTGGTGTCCAGCTGCCTGGACAGAAGGGTTCTCCAGCCTGGACAGCTGTGGGATGAAGGCTGAAGAGTGGGCTGCAGAGCATGTCTGTCCTGCTGTGAAGGCACTGACCTATGGTCTCAGCAGTGGTTCTTCAGGAACCATGCTGGTCTTTATGGAGTCATCTGGGCATCTTTGAGCTCTCTCTAGAAGTAAATCTAGGTGCTCACAAGGCGTTGTGCTAATCTACCTCTCACAATCCAGAGTGCAGAGCAGGCGGTTAGAAGCAGCCTTCATGTTTCAAGTCAGCTGGAGCTGGCACAGAATGAAGGCTCCTGTATTTACCTGGCTCTGAAGACCTCAGGTGAAACCTCTGGAGTGTGGGTCTGTACCATGTCCCTCCTGAGCTACCCTGCCTGGATCCTACTGATCATCCCTCTGTGTTGCACAGAAATGTCTACTTTCAGATCTATTTTTCTGCATCTGTGCATGGCAAGTACACAACCCAAATAATGCGACCACAGAAAACTAAAAGTTGGCACATACCAGTTGGTATAGTAGGGTTGAAAATTATCTTCCTCAGATGTGAGGTTTTATACATTATTTAGCTTAGTTTAATACAGAGTCACCAGAAAAAACTAGAAATTTTCCCAGGCAGCATACACCCATCAGAAACTGGGCGGAGAAGACAGCCAGATGTCTAGTATGAATAGCATAAGAATACAGCAGACAGAATACAAAGAATACAGAAAAAACACCCCATGGAGAAGCTGGTTTCCCAAGTAAAAATTAAGAAAAGTTTTTGAGCAATGAGCATTTGGGGTCGTCTGTTAATATTATGAAAAGCTAAAGTAAGGAAAAAATAAAAAGAAAAATAATTTAGAATACAAACTTTTGCTTTAAAAATGACCATGTTGAGAAGCATGGCAATGTTCTACACAAGAACCAGTGACCTAAGCAGAGGTTTGGAGGGCTTTAAAGTTGTATCTATTGTATACTGATCCCCAGTGACAGCAGGACGCACTTTTGCTGCCATGTTTTAATCATAGGAATTAAAAACAAAAAAAAAGCTTGGTGGGTGGACACAAATGGTATGCATAAAGAAACACCCACCTTGCCACATTTATTTTTAAAATTAGACCGATTATAATTTACATGTTAATACTTTGTGCATTGAACACAAATCCAGTGGGAAAATTTGAGTCAGGTGATCTACACAAACCTTTTGGTGATCACTTTAGGTGACTGAATTCCAAAATACAATTCCCTATTTGCTTTATTAGCAATATTGTGCTGCAAAATGGTACATATTAGCACTCGATTATGCACAGGGAATTCATGCTTTGAGATGTGCAAGTCAAATTCAGTAATTCTGTTTGCTTAGAAGAGGGAGCGCAGCCAAATCCTTAACCTCAGCAGAGTGCTAGCTTCTAAAAGCTCTGCTGCTGTACACTGTGAACAGCACTCAAGGCCATTTATAACTGTAATGGGAAAGGGATAATGGAAGATGCATTACAACAAGCAAGAGGCATAGCTCAAATGGCTCTTTAGGGTGTCTTACACACACGTCAGCTCAGCAGCAAACACTTTTGTTTTAAAATACTTAAGAGTGTCGTGTATTATCTGAAAAATTACCTGAATAATGCTGAACCAGCTGCTGAAGAGTTTCAAATTGTGCCCGAGTTGTGATATAATATCCACCATTGTCAAGTTTGCGAATCTTATAATGTTTGACATGATCTCCCTTCATATCATCCCAGTCACGAATAGACAGGGAATAGGCACCTGTTCCAAGGAAAGGAGAAACAAAAAATTGTAAGTAGCTTTTAGACACAAAGATTTTGGTTTGCTGGTCAGTCGTTACAAAGCGAAAGAGAAACTGTTTCCAAAAAATGCTTACTGTACCTTGAAAAAGAATAAATGAATTTAACACAATGAAGTAAGTACAACAGAAATGTTACTATGTTCACACCATGTCCCTTTCACACTTTTCTGGAAAGAAATCAGGACTTCTGTGCAAATGAAAAATCACATTTTAACATTTACTGCTTCATGTTCTTAAATTGACTTTTTCTATTCTAAGTGTCAGGTTACACTGCAAATACTAGACTTCAGGTAAATGCCAGTGGACAGTAAATATCAAGATTTTCATAGGAAGCACTGGAAATAATGACTTCATATACATGTAGTGTTGTTATCCAGATGGATCCCAAAATTCTTTATAAACATTAAACAACAAAACTGGCATACTTTGCATGTCACAGTCTTTGGAAGGTGGTACTACACCACGACTGTGCACGTGGAGATCTGCAAGAACTGCACGTTTCGCTTTCCAAATCCGTGCTGGAGCTTTAGAGGTTACTGGTGGGCTTCAGATGCCCAAACACAGTGGTTAGGTGCCACGTGAGATGCCCCAGGACATCCCGCTTGGCAGCTCTTCCACAGGCTGTCACATTTGTCGCATCCACGTGGATGCCCTGCAGGCATTTCAAATGGCTCTGAACCCTCCTGGCCAGGTAAAGGAACCTCAGCTGAGGGGCTGGATTTAGTTTTAGGTGAAGCGGTGGCTGTCTGCAGGTGGGCTGTGGGCTTGATTTAGATGCCCACACATAAGTTTCTGGTGCTATTAGGGCAGCTGAATCTCAGCCTAATTTCCATGAGTGTCACGGCACAGTAGAAGTCGATGGCGTAATGCAGGTTTGAGCACCAGCTGTCTGCAGTCGTGGGCAGCTGCACTGAACCCCAGCTTCCTTCTGACTGTAAAGGTGCCTTTGCCACCTACAAGGGGACCTGTGCATTCAGCCATCTCAATCTGAAGCACAGTCCTATTCCACATACAGTGACACCCACGTGTTGGTTCTCTACAGTCTCAAGAGCAAAGCCACATTTTACAGCATGATGCAGTTTCTGAGCAAGAGCATGGCCGTTTCAAAGGCAGTGGAGAAGACAAGTCTTCACTCATGGCTCAGACAAATATTGTGTTTACTCAAAGGTAATTCAGACATTAAAAGGAAAAAAAATGGAGGTAACTGGCAGCTGCAGAGATCTCAGGAAGGTCCTCCTTCTGGGGCCTGGGCTGAGTTCACTGGTAACCATGTCACCTAAGGACAGGAAAGGAAAACCACCAGCCGACAATTTTGGACAGCGTGAAAGGTGGAGTGATTTCCTAGAGGTCTGACAGCAAACAGCACTGACCGCTGCTTATCCCAAGTCAGGGTACTTTCCAACACAGCAGGCAGGTTCACATCCTACAGAACCACCTCCAGCCAAATGAAACGGTTTAAAGAACCCCCACAGTTACGTGGTCGAGATTCCTGGTGTAAGATGTCTTTGCTGGATGTCTCCCCAGGAAGAAGTTTCCCTGACCACATTAACCTGCAACAGGTCACACTGGTGGGCACCTCAAAACCAAGGGAGCTGCAGTGAACAAAACGTCTCCACCCCGACTCCAAGGACATCTCAAATTCCCTGTTGCGTGTCCTCTATATAATAGGAGGAAAAGAACTAGCACTTACACAGATGATTCTGGTTTATGCGAATGGGAGACATCCTGAGAGGAGTGACAGGGATTTTATTTCTAAGCATAGAAAAATACTGTTTGTTTAGGATATTCTTTCTGAGGAGGCTCTCCCACTGAGTAAGTACATCTCTGTCAGCTTGGAGTTGAAAGCTTTTTGGGGATTTGCAAGCACATCTTGTGCATGCTTTGTACCACCACTCTGGGTTGTACACTGTCAGCCTGCTTTCAAACTTTTCCAGGCAGTGTTCTCCACCTCTGCGTTTATGAGTTTTGATGCATTGGCAGCAGCTGTATTTTCTTTAGTCACGCTCCATGCCTATCTGGTCACTATTTTAGATTCTTTCGGAAAATGTAAACAATCTGTGGCTCCAGGTCTGCAATCAGAGCTGCGTGGGTGGCCCTCTGTGGACCCCCACTGACCTCAGATCAAGTTGCAGGACTGGAGCTTTAGTTCAAATCTGGACAAAAACAGGAACCAAGATGGATTTCATTATTCATTTATTTAGGCTGTTGGTTATTTATACTATTCAACATTATCTGATAATAAATTCAAACATAAGAGAGATACATAATAAAAATTTGGATAGAAACACGACATTACAATATATCATACTAATGAATTTTTTACAAAAACAAACCTAAAACCAGACAGCCTTGGAGGGTGGAGATTGAAACCAGGTGAAGGATTATACAGACAAGAGCTGATGAAGTATCTGGGTAGTCAGGCACTGAAAAAATGAAAAGCCAGCTCTGTATGATTTATTTTGGAAGTAAGAAGAGAAGACAACCATGATCAAGGGAGGTTAAATTCATGCTGAAGTCATCCATGATGATACTTTTAACATGATCCTGATTAATTTTATTATTGTTATTATTTAAAGCAGAAGTGATGATTCTAGGTCACAAAACAATTCCTGCCTCAAGCCCAAGATGACTCGCTGGAGTGAGGCATTCTGAGAAGACTTCTGGGAGGATGCACCATTCGAGCCCTCCCAGCTGAGTTTTTTCTCTCTCACGAACAACAGGCTCCCTCTGTTTTCTTCTAACAACATACTGAAACACCACAACGATGAGCAGGGAAATAGGCATTTTTTACAAAAACCATGAATGTTTGTTTTTTTCCAATGGCTTTGATGAAAGCTTAGCCTGAAGATGTAGAAAGCCTTAAGTTCAAATGGAGAGAAATTAAGCTTGCTGCTATAAATCCATCCATGATGGATTACTCCATTTCCCCAGTGCTTTTGTGTCTCACAAGAAGCTCTAGAAAAAAGCCAGTAAAGAGCCCTGCAAAACATATCCCCATCACTGTATAAAAAATGGTCAAAACGGACTAAACTGACAATGTGGTTTAGAGGAACAGTGTTGTGTTTACTTTTAGGATCCATGGATGCCTATATGAGTGAGTTTTTAAACTCAGGACAGAGTGGAATGAAGTCCTGCTCCTCGCGCACGTCACAACTGTTGGTGAAAACTAACAGGTGGAGGCTATTTGCAGAAAAAGAGCAAGTTAGAGCCTGTCCTGTTCCTGGTGAGAATGCCTCACTGCTGCATAAGGTATGGTGAAGCTGGGGGGTGACAGGATGGGACATTAGCTGTCTGAAACAACAGCACATCTACTCAGATATTGCATCAGAAACAGTGAAGGAAGAATCCAGTGACTGCAGCAGTCAAAAATGTAAAACTTACTTACAACTTCAGCTGACAGAATGCAGCATCTGAATATAGGTCAGGCAGAGAGGAGTGGGAAGTAGTGCTCCTCTGCTTTAAACCCCTTTACCAGCCATGACTCCAACCACTTTGCATGCTAACTCTAGCTGACAGAACGTGCTCTGATCAAAGCACTGACAAGTCAGTGCTTTAATTACATGAACCATCATTAGACGTCAGAACTTACATGGAATTAATTCCACTGACTTCTCCTTCCCACAGCTATTGTTTTGGATTGCTGGCTAATTCAGAAATGCCCAGGTGTGTTTTCACTTAGTTGCAGGTTTTCTCCTCAATAGTTGTATGAGTTAGACAGATCTTTTCATATACGTGAAGCTTTGAAGAAGATGTTGACAGGCCTCATGAACAAAATATAAAAGCAAAGATAGCACCCACCAAGAAAACTGGAACTCCTCCAGTATTTTTAGAGGGAAGGAGGAGAACATATCCTTCCACTTGACTTCAACAGAATGAATACAGTTGAATACTTCATGAATATATTAATTAGAAATATTTCCAAGTCTTTTCACTGTTAATCTATGAATTTAAAACTGCCACATCTTCCCCCCGCAGGGATCCAGCATTTAAAAGGACAAAGACCGAAAAATCCCCTGATCTTCTAAAAACAATAACGATCACCTCCCCCTCCGCCCGTTTTTATCTTACACCTTCCAGACAAGCAGGTTCAAATATTTCCCTTGTTCAGAAGTAAGCAGTAGTTTTCACCAAACTAGACGGGGTTCCCTGCATCTGTTCACAGTAGAGCCAGCTGGCAGTGCCTGGACCTGAATACGGACTTCAGGAGGTCTTCCTCCTGTAGCCCCACAGCTGCTGTTGTGAGGGGCCATTCTCCACCCAACTGCATCGCAACAGTCATATCCTCAACACATGCGTTAACAGAGACAGTGCGATGTTCAGCGTGTGACAGCAGAGCAGAGCACCCTGCCTGTGCGTGACTTGCACTGCAGATACCACGGGTTGAGCACAGCGTGGGTTGCACTTGGGTTGTTCTCTGCGTTGAATGCTTACTCTAAGACCCAGAGTGTTCAGGCTCCAATTCCCTAGCACACCTATATGCCATATGACGCTTAACCTCTACCTTCATATCACTGAAAACAGTATTTCACAAACTCAGCACAATTTTTCTCATATATCTTCTCATTCGTAGCCAGAATAGCTTTGGCCATCCTACCTTTGGTAGTTTCGCTTTCCCGGATCAGGAAGGTACCTCTGGGGTTTCCAAATGACAACAGCTGCCTCTCAGCATCTTTTCGGCCAAGTTTGCCAAAGTACCACCTTAGGGAAACATCAGAAATAATAAGACGAGTGCTACATAGGATTATTGGATAGGGTCACAGAGCTCAGACAGGGAGGATTATTTGTGGAAACTATGGTTACTCAAGTATATTCAACCATTTTTATCATATTGTGTCTCTGTTATCGTGGTGGGAAGCTAACGTGACAAACTGTGTCATAGATGTTGTACACATTGTGCAGTAGCACTTTGTGTGAAGCCTAAAATCAGTAGATGGTGAGAATGCTTGTTTGGTGTCTTACAACAAAGACTTTGACAGACAGAGAGCAAGACCTGGCGGGGGGAAGGAACAGACAAGGAAATGGGCAGACAAATGTGTTGCTGCTGAAGAGCAGTATTTTTACAGATGTTGCTATAAACTACATATTTGACTTACATAGTGATGTATTAGTATTCCATACTTTTGTTGCACCACAGCTATAAAACCTCAGTAGAAGGACCAGATGTAACCACTTTACTGTGGCTGTATCAGGCTTTCAGAGTTTTGGTACCTTTTTCCCTCCTGCAGCAATCTTTTTTTCTTCAGTTTTTGGTTTCACAATCAACCAAGTACAGCCTGAAGTACAGACTAAAGCAGTACCTGCTCAGCCTATATTAGCTCCTCCAACGTACCTTTTATACTGGAAATAATATGGACACACACAGCACTCCATTTCTTGCACAGGCATGTCCTCATTATGCTGCCTGCTGTATACGTTGTAGGCATCCTACCTATTGGTAGGTATCTGTTCATACAATGTGCTTTCTTTAATAGGCAGTTTGCACACTAATTGACTCCTAATGTTTTTACAATTTGGTTCAGGAAAAGCAAGGGCACCTTTCGCTTAAAGCCTGAAATTAGTCAACACTAGAAGAAAGGAAGCAGACCTTTGTTCCTTTAGGTTTTCTTCCTTTGTTTTGACATTGAAAAAGCACTGAGCTTGTGCTTCTTTTGTTACTAATTACCTGATTACTTATCAGTGCAGTTAAGAATTGAAATAAAAATAATGTAAGTCATTTGAAAAATCGCCACAATCAGTCAAAACCAACTCCTCAAACTTCCTTCAAATACAGCACTAACGGGTCTTTACAACAGAAAGAAAACATACTCCTCTGCTTGGATGGAATCGACTGGAGCCACATAATTACTGGGAATGTAACCAGTTTCGCCTGTTGTCAAGGAGCGGGCCTCCCACCAGTCTCCTTCCCTGCAGAAAGAGAGGTGAGGAGAAGTGAGAGTGAGACACAGCTGTAAAGGCACCGACCTGACTTTGCTAAGGGCACCCGCAGCTGCGCCGTGTACGAAGCCACAGCAACTCATCTCTTATCACCAGCATGCTTCCGAGAGAGCTGCTCATCTAAACCCAAATCATACACGTATTTCTTTACACCTGTTATTATGTCAGCGCTGATTAGTAACGTAGCCTTCCAAATGTAGCGTAATGGCAGAAACAGGCATAACAACCCAGCGTAATCAGGTTTGGTGAGGGCCGGATTTGGACTGGAATATTGAAAACTGTCTCCATAGCAATTATTCTAATACAGACCCTTGAGAGAGCTTATAGAGAAACTGCCAAACTGAACACTGTCACATCCACTGCTAATTTTAAACTTCTGTCTGAAACCAAAGGCATCAAAAAGCCATCTATCAACACGGGGGTTTAGATAGCCCTTAAGGATCACACTTCATTGTCTAGATTCCCTCTCCTGGGCACCCAGAGGAGGCGTCTGAAGTAGCAAAGCACTTAGCTGCATTTTCAAACGCTTGCAAAACCCCATTCTTCTACAACATTTAAATACAAAGATGTCCATGCAGGACCATCTTATGGCAGTGTTCCACTGGTTTAGCACCAATTTTTGTCGTACACCTGTGTGCACACGGTACTGCCCTTCAGACCATGTGTGTTGCTGTAGAATGTGCAGCTTTAAGAGAATTTTATTTCTCAGCTTTTTTACAGGATGCAACGATTTGGCATTTCACAATTTGTGTTTCACTCTCAGCACCAGATTCACCAATGTTTAACTCCTACCGCTACTAAGAAGCATTCTCTTTTCTATTTCTGGACTGCTTAGAAACTCTTTCTCAGTTCCCCTCTCTGTAAAACAGAGATTTGTTCACTAAATAAACCACTATTATCAAACGTGGCGAGAGAATTCAGCCTCTTCTGTAAGCAAGCAGTTACAGAAAAACACTGTCTGAGCTATTACTGGCAGGAAAGGTCACGTCAAGGTGAGCTCTTACTTCAAATTTTCAACTCCACTTTCTTTAACAGTTTGAAGGAATAAGAACTCTAAGGAAAACAGCTGTGATTCGTCAAAAAGGAGACATTTACAATTCTATAGTTCAAAAAGTGAAGAACAAGTAGCTTTTCTAGAGGCTGGCAGCTGACACTATTTTAATACACCTTGTGTGATTAGTATGTCAGGCAGATGGTCCTAACCATTTGCATCCATAATTTTATCAGATGAAGTGCTAACCCTTCTCCCATACGTTGCTGTAGAATATTTCTAAGAGATTATGCCATACTGTGGTTGATAAATTGCACCATTACTTTCCTCCTCCTTACTCTACAGAGAGTCCACTAGATGGAGGTATTTTATCATTGCTAGGGAGGAAAAAAGCAGCCCTGCAGATGATCACAATATTAGGAACAAGCCCTTCTGCTCTGACACAGAAGCTGAAATCTCTCAAAGCACTGCCAGAAAGGAGGAGGAATGTAGACTTTTTTCACACCTCTTCATTTTAGACACCCAGCTGAGGTAGGAGGGGGCTAGTCAAGGGGGCCAGTCAGGGTATGCAGGAGTCACGGTGCAGATGCAGGGGACGGCCGAGGGTTTCTGAGCCCTGAAGTCAAGCTCTGCTCTGAACCACCCCTGCAGGTACCTCCTGCCCCCAGACTGCCCTTGGTATAATTTCTGACTTCAAATCACAGAGATACCCTCTGTATGCCATTTCAGGTGTTGCTGTCCTGAACTTTAAATCCAAAGCAAAAAATCAAATTTCATTTGTTGAGAGTTAAAAAAAAATCCAAACCTCTCCAAAAAGTCCAGGCAAATTAGTTTTGTGCACATATATGCTTTCTAGTTTTAAGCAGCATTGGCAGACTCTTAAAAAAATGGGCTTCTTTCTTATAATTTCTGATACAAGTGAAGAGAGGAAGCATTCTCACAAAAAAAGCTGCTTTCTGGAGATTCCCAGCCTGGCTGTCAGTACTGCAGGAGTGTGGTTCGGTCTGCCTTTACAAGCAGACAGAGCTGACCACGATGGGAACCGAGCTTCTATCATCCTATAAGAAAATCAGTAGGTGCTTGTTTTTTTTTTCTTTTAGAAAACCTTCCTCCAGGCAGCAATTACCTGCATGAAAATGCATGTACTGCAACTGCCCACACACGGGGAATCTACTGCAACCGCCCACACGTGGGGGAATCTCTCTGTCCCACTGACTCTGAGAATGATTGCTCTGCAAGTTCTGCTGAGCACCCCCTGATTTCACCAGCTGGCATGTGCAAGGAACTCCTAACACCTGGAATTTCTTGTTTCAAGTTATGGCATAGTTTGTGCAAGGTTAGGAAAGCAGCAGGCAACATGAACAAAAATGGCTGATGGGTTAAAAAAGGTTTTTTTTCCAAGCGCTAATTTAGAAGTAGAGAGGTTTTTAAACTGCTGCTCCCTCTACAAGTCGTAACTGAAGCTTCTCTGCTTTCATCTACATCAAAGCTCTTCAGCTTCACGGCTTCATGAAATATTCCACAGAATTACCTGATCTATATATTTTTTTTAACTTCAACGCACATTGAGCCAACTCCAACCCTGGAGTTGTTCTATTAACAGGAGTTGCACCAGGGATGAATTTGCCTCAATGTCACATAGTGTAAGAAAAAAAGATGAGAGCAATATCACAAAGCCTCTAGAAAGCGACATACTTGGCTGTTAACCCATTTTTACCTCTACATGATAGCACTACTGAACATAATGCAGAGCCTTCAACTTTATGTTCTTAGCCAAGAATTACAAGATGTTCAGATATAGGTCAGTAGCACAGTAAGTTTTAGATGCTATTTTTAAATTGCTAAGGGATTTTTTCTATGAGCAGTTAATAAAATTAATTTTAAGTTGATGATTTTCAGGATGGAAGTGTGGTTTTCATGCCAAATGCAACTGTCCAATGGTGTGTTCTCACTTAACAGAACTTCCTAGCATGTTCTGACTGTATCACCTGCCTTTAAATGGAAAAAGAAAGCTTTTAAACTTGGCACGCAAATATGGGTAACGTCTCAATTGTGAATCAGTTTTTAGTTCGTTTCTGTGCAGAGATACTTGCAAAAAGTAGATTGCAAGAAAAAGTGTTAGTACATGCCTTGCAGAACTTCTGTGACTACTGGTGAAGTACAGAGCTGGTACTCTCAGTTCTGAATGTGAGTTTACTGTGAAATGTAAGCAGTGAATCACACAATCTAACGCTTATTTTTGAAGTAAAGCTGCATGTGGTTTGAAGGCTTTTTTTTTCCCTAATAATAAAGCACTTTGCAAAAGTGCACTAAAGGCAAAGACAAGTAAGTAAGCAGACTAAAACCCATACAAATCTTGAATACCCAACATTAGATTTTACTAATAACTCAAGCAGACAAATGTAACTGCCAACATTATAAGTTTAAAAATATTACAAAGCATATTCCCAAGCCTAAAACTTACGAGCTGTTAAGTATTTGAAATTTTTCTCCTTTGTGAAAACTCAAGTCATCTTCTGTTCTTGCTTCATAGTCATAAAGCGCCACAAAAAGAGTTACACCTAAAGAAGAAAACAGGTGAGTTACATTCCATCGGAAAAAAAGAGGAGGGAAAGGAGCCTCAAGCTATGAGGTGGCCAAGCCAAATGTAAGCTAGTCCAGTTGCTGAGGAGCACAATAAACTGAAGCCTCCTACTTCTTGGACAACCATTCTAATCCCTTTGCTTTTGCGCAGCCAGCGGGCACGCCACCTCCGTCACTCTGTAGAGTCATCAGTACGCTTGGTTTGGTACCCACACACAGCGTAGGATCCCAAGCGGGCCAAGGGGGTTTGAAGACTGAGTTTAGGCACAGCCATGCCAAGTATTTCCTGTGAACTACTGCAGGTGGCTCAGGCCACACTTTCCATTCCCTGGTAGAGAGATGAGGCAGTCAGTCAGCCAAATTGGGCGTGTATGCGTGATTTTTCACCCCCCAAGAGAAATAGCACCCGCAAGGTAGCAAAGGTAGGGCTGGGGACCCAGCTCTGCCCCTGCTTCGGTTCTTTGCAGTATTTAATGAAATAACTCTTCCCGAAAGCAGCACGCTGAGACAGTTGTGCCTCTGCTGTAATTAACACGATTGATGCTCTCTAAGAGCACTGGAAGAAGACTTTGAAACTCACCTGTTCCTCCTCTTGTACGCAGCGTCCCTGTATGAGAGGAGGAATTGACTCCACCAAACACAGTCAGTCCTTGGCCTCCCGTGGCGTGGAAGTTGTTGTAGTTTGGGATTGAAGTCACACCAAAGCTAGGATAGTGCTGCGGAGTGGGGTCTGTCCCATAGCGGTAGCCTGAGCTTTGAGTTAAACTGCCATCCCTCTCGTCTGTCAGTTTTGTTGCTTCTTTATCCTTACATTGCACACAGCCCATTATCTAAAATCCTAGGAGAGGGAGGAAAGGACAGGTGTTCATACACTGATGCTCACTAGATCTTCCCCAAACCCACATACGACGAGGATCAAATTAAGTTCACTGCTCAAAAGTTACGCACTTTGAAAAAAAATCCCACGGCAGTTTGAATATAAACAGCAACACGCTGGGAAAAGCTCACACAAAACCTTCTTAGCAGTGGTTTCCCATCAGGGCCTGGGGAAGCAGGTCCTGCCTGCTCTGAGGGTGGTGGCAGCTCTCTGGTGAGGATGAGACCCCTCTCGCTCACCCTTCGGCAGGAGAGCACGACTGGCAGGTGAGGGACTCGGCAGAAAAGTGCAGCTAGAGGTGTTCAAACCTGCCCCCAAACACACAGAGCCGGGCACTTGGCTCACGGTTCGTGTCTGACCTCACCAACTACACCAGCGCTGGCTTCACCTAAGAGCAATATAACCTTTTCCCATTGCTGGAGCTTGGCGTGACAGGCAGAAAAACAGCACAAGAAAGTAGGAGGGAGCACATCAGACGGCACAACGAAAGCAAAAGGAAGCGCCCTTGAGCACAGTACCCAACAGCAGTCTAAAACCTGCCGGTAGCGTGTGGTGGGGCAGCCTGAGGTATATGTGAGTTAAGGAACTAGAGGAAGCCACGGAGGAATCAACACGCCAAATGCAGAGCATCTCCAAATCTGGATCCCGGACAGGAGGAAACTGAGAGGGTACGGGTTGGAAAAGGTTGCACTAAGTTTTTTAATTCTTGTAACCTCTTATTTAGCACGCACATGGGGCATTACCAGGGCCTGGGTTAATCTCTTAATTTCAGATGCCTGCTTCTCTGTAGGTGGAGGGAGACCAAGGGTGATCGGCCACATCTTAGAAGCAGCCCTCCAAGGTTAGTCACAGAATCACACAGAATGGTAGGGGTTGGAAGGGACCTCTGTGGGTCATCTAGTCCAACC